AAGTGAGGGTTCTCCGATTGTATGCGATCCCCTTTGTCATCACGCCGTATCATACACATCTATAATTTCAAGCTTTTTGATTAACCAAAACAATAGTATATCAGAATTTAGACTAAAGACATGACTACAAAAATACAGTCATATCTTCGCACCTACGACGAACACAACTAGGTAACATTAAATAAGTTAATAAGTATAGATTCTGTTTCATTCGTGTAGTTAGTTACGCACTCTACAGATAATTACCGGTTTTTATTAAAAGTCAGATTGGGGCGCCAAGGTAAACCCTGTATATTGGTAAACGCAATGCTAAGATGTACCAAGTAGCAGTCATTGCGCCCCAAAAAGGGTACCTTCAACCTTTTTAATCCACCACAATCTCCTAGCAGTCCTGGTGCTTGTCGTCGTGGTGAGAAATTAATTCTGCAACCCTGAAATGAAAAGTGACTTGAAAGAAATGAAATAGACAATGATTTATAAATACTATGTGGTAGCCTGCTCGTATTTATCCGCTGCCAGTGCTCTGGTAATCATATCGGTACACATGTTCTCCTGTTCGTTGTAGTACTCAACCCCCTGGTATCTTTAGTCGAGGCCCATTTACACTAAAATAAATGTCAATTTTGTTATTTTTTTACATAATTTAGGGTTTTGTATCATCTTACCTTTTTTTTTTTAACTTCAAACAGTACGTCTTCAACATTTCTCCGTTTAGGAGACTTATTGTGCAATCACAAAAAATTAAAATTATTTTATTAAAACATATTCATTGCATTGCAGCAGAAAAATTAGTCAAAATAAAAACAAATATTTTATTTAACAAAGTTTTTAGATTTTTAAACGAGTTATTTACATCCATGCTACTAATAAAATAATTCAAAAAAATTAAATATTGTACAAATAATACTAATTATAAATTAAAGTGTATGGGGTTGCGTTGCTTCTGGGAAAAACATCGCAAGGATCCACACACCAAATGAAAAAAAATAATTATTAACGAAACGCGAATTACTAGAACCTGTCGTGGGGGGTAAGCGACAGGAACACATTTAAACGCGGAAATCGTTTCAAACGATATTAAAATTACGAATAAGTCCTCGCACGAACAAAAAAAAAATTAAAATGTGGACGCAAATAACCCAAAATTATAATTTAACAAAATTATAAAAAATAATTAAAAATTGTCAATGTGATTGAATAAAAAAAAATTCATGCACAATAAATCCCTAAAGCAATCCGCCACTGCGCAAAACACTGTATGAAATCTGAAACAAAACAAATGTAGTCAATCGTAAATATTTGAAACATAAGATTTATATTAAAATTTAATATTATTTAATTATATTTAAATTTAATAATCTAAAGATTGCATTAAATTATTTATGTTAACTCAAATAGCTAAAATTAAATATTTTCACAACAATAAACACTAAGGCGACACTTCAGCACAAATATATTGGATTAGAAAATGTAACGCAAATCGTTTAATATTAAAGAGACGAATTTTTACTTCAATTCATTTACATTCTTATAATTATAATTCAACAGAAAATCAAGTCAAATCGAATCAACCAAAACACATATTTGAAACTGAATGCACGAAATGATTACATAATACATAAATATTTTTTAAAAGACTTACCACTGACCGTAGTGTCGACCGAGAGGTCCAAATACAGAATGATTTTAGTTGTTATTGCGAACCTCTTTTATTGGGGTCAGAAAGAGACAAAACTATGAATTGTTACCAGATGATACTAAAATTCAAAAATTGTTATCTAATTGAATAGTTTCGGGTTCGGAACCATAGAGGGTGCAATACGAAAAGTTTATTGTACCTTACAATCAGTAATAATTGAACCTTCGTGGCGAGATGGTCGAAATTATTACTGCTAATATTTGCATCTAGTTCTGTTTGATTCATATATTTGATTTGATTGTGAAGTATTATTTGTATTAAATACGTTTTTATTTGTATTTGCGTCTTATTAATTTGTGCGTTTTTTATATATAATTGTAAAATAAAACTAGTGGTTGGTGTTTGGCATCGTGCCTTAAGGCAAATTGCTGGAACTTTCCGTACCGTAATGAAATATTCGAGAAATTTTAAACGGTTTTCAAATATAGATACTGTAACTATCATTATTTTTGCTATCTTGTTATATCTGAGCAAATCAAATGTAAATCATAAATCAATTTATCTGCAGAACATTAACAATCGTCATTTCTTTTCGAATTCATTTTCAAAAAAATAGTTGCCTAAATTTGCACAAAATTGAAAAAGTGCCTCCGTACAGTCACAGTCTAAACGCATTTGCAAATAATTCTGTGCGACATTTTCACTTATACTGTGCTTAGCTTGGCGGCATTTTCACATTTTTCAAAAGTTTTTTCACAAAATTGGAAAAGTGCACTTGGGTAAACACTTTGGGTAAACATTTATACCAGATTGGCGCTTAGACTGTGCTTAGGCTGGGTAATTTTTTAATTTTTTATTCCAAAATTACAAAAATATTTTTTGAAAAAAAAATAGAAAAAAAAATTTTTTTTTTCAAAAGCAATTATTTTGTTGAAACAAGTAGAAAGTTCTTTGAATCATTTAAATCGCACGCTTAGTTCTCTTAAAAACTGCAATTTTTTAACATTTAGCTCTGTATCTCCGAAACCGCTAGGCCTACCTTTGCGTCCAGCGTCCGATTTAAATGATTCAAAAAAACTTTCTGCTTCTTTTAACAAAATAATTGATTTTGGAAAAAAAAATCTGTTTCAATTTTTTTTTCAGAACAATTTTTTTTTGTATATCGAAAATAATTCAGATTTTATTTTTGATTCTGACTAAAGTTTTAAAGCTCACTTATATACTTTATAAAATAGTTTCAACTTTGCAATTCAGTTTATATAATTCTTATAAATATTAGACAATGTTACAGTATTTATTTTTGTAATAATATATTTGAAAACATTTAATATTCTTCGAACATTTCGTTACGGTACGAGAAGTTCCAGCAATTTGCCTTAAGGCACAATGCCATACACCCCACTAGTTTTATTTTATTTTATTTCTCACAAAAAGCTTATTAATTTTATAATTTTTATTTTAAACATGATACATCACTAAAAATATTAATGCACTCTTGAATAAGTTTGATTTGAAAACGAATAACATTCTATTTCCTAGAGAATTATCTAGATCAAGATCAATCCTTAAAATAAATTGCCGTGACAAAAAAAAAAATCGGAAAAATTTGCCGCCTCCCAAGGCCCGGGCCTCACGGGCCTATGGGGTAATCCAGCACTGTTTATAGATCATTTACTTTAAATACATATATGCAAACTTATTTATAGATTTGATACAATTCTACATTTATATCCACACAATATTATTCCACAAGTTCAATTGTTTGCTCGAAGCTTTTCCACAAACATCATATAGTAGTAAAATAAAAAATAATTGACTGTAAAAGAGCTTATATGTATAAATGAAAAATCCATAAAGTTATGTAAGTGCAAGTTATAATTGTACTTGTTCTTTACATATTCATAAATAAAATAATTAACAGACTTTCATAATTATTTATTGTAGTACATATTAGAATAAATATGGAATAAATTTATTATAATAATTTAAATTAAAAAAATTTTCATCAGGTAAATTAAACACTTATTAATTTCCAAATCAGGCATTTTCTCTCAAATTGCGTGCATGCTTACCATGAAATTTGCATTTATAATTATTCATAAACTTAAAGGCACAGTTATCTGCAGTTAGTTTCTCATGTACCGAATATCGTTTATATAATTTTCCAGTTCTACGTTTACGAAAATTAGACAGCTTATCAATCGTAGGTGAATCTTTCCTTTCTGTTGCCTTTTTCAACTGAGCTACCATTATTGCTGATTGGCAATTCATTTGTTCTTGCAATCGTTTTAGGTAAATCATGAAAATGTTTCTTGTAGTTTCATCTGCCGCTTCGGCGCAAGTTATCATCTAAATTAAATTAAAATGGCATGTCTTAAAGGAAGTAGCAAAAACTTCTTGATATGGGTAAATGCTCAGGTTTGGCTCTATAATGTGAAAAACTATTGCAGATTATTCAATTTTGTAGAAATTTACCAAACATATAGTTATTTCAGCAAATTGTTGCAATTACATTATTTGTCAACATTAGCGAGCTCTTAATAATCACACTCGTTTTTCTTTAAATTATTTTTAATAATTCAAACGTTATACGAAAAACAAGTATAACTGACAGCAAAACCAATTTTGGATAGACTTTTTTTTTCTTACCTTATAATCAACTTTATTCATTAACAAATAACTAGTACCCCAGCAATTTTTGAGAGAATTAAACAGAGCTCTCTCTTTAACTGACATTTTCTTATAAGCTTGAACAAACTTTTTCGGTTTGATATACCTATAAAACGCATGCATATTTTTTATATGTAATAATATCAATATAATACACTTTTTAAGTTTTAATTCTATATTTTGCTTTATTTCTACATACTCACTCAGACAATTTAGGTGCGGGCAATGCCATATTGAAATTTAAAACTTTCTTGTTACTTTTAGCCATAGTTTTACAATTTCACGATAGCTCACAATTATTTAAATTCATTAATCACAATATTGGTATTTTGTTTTTATGCTATCTTAAAATGACAAGTAAATAAAAACAAACCAAATGCAATTTGAATAACAAATGAAAATAACATTTTATTACTATTGAGCTAAAACAAAATCATAGAAAAAAGACTAGAAATAACAACCTCTTGCAATGATCAAAGTCATGTATTTAAATGATATATTCTTGATATTTATGCTGTCGATATACATTAATTCATATCAGTATTCAGATGTTGCTTGGTAATATTTGTATTATTCTTTACCAGGTTAACAAATTATTTATTAAATAAACTACTTGATGGATGTCTCAATTTATTAATTTAATCTGAAATATCTTGTTTAAAAATTGTAAATGGTACAGGAAATCTCATATAATAAGACAAATCATATTTAAGACATATAATTTATAATATTATTTCATTTTTAAAACTTCTCGATAGTTCTTTATGGGGTAAAACAATAGAATTAAGCAGAATCTTTTCAGCAGGCACAATAACAGAACTACCTGAATCATAAGAGGAATAAAGACATGATTTATATCAACCCAAACATATATATATATATATACAAATATATATATATATATATATATATATATATATATATATATGTATGTATATGTATATATAAATCACTTACCAAGAATTGTTATAGATGGATTTAATCGTCCTTCATTGTTAAATAATGGTGGATTATCCATTTTAGCAAAAGGTTTATTTGGGTTAGGATCTCCAGGGGCACCTTCTACTCTGGCCCATTTTCCAACTCTAGAACCCTTACCAACTAATATAAATAATTTTATTATTTCATTAATAAAATTGCCACTATATTTATATTAATTTCTTTTTTTTTTTAATTCTCAAAAAATAATAATAAATATAACTGAAACAAGCCAGAGTAATTTTTTTAAAAGTATTTAAAATAATAAAGAAAAGAAATGGCCGATCAATACAACAAACTACTTACTTATGCTATATAAAATAAGTGCATGATCATCTATTGTGGCATTGGGCAAAACAATACTTTCTCTAATTCTAACTCCAGGACCTATTGTAACTCCTTCTCCAATAGATACATTAGGACCCAACTGCAACCATCAAAATAAGGAATACTGCTTCAAAGTTCAAATACAGGAAGAAAATCAAATCTCTCATTTATTGAAATACTGCTTACCACTGCTGTTGAATGAATATTTGCTGAAGGATTTATGTACACATCAGGATACACTGTGCACTCATGTTTATTGGACAATCTTGATGGATGTCTCAATTTATATAATTCTATCAACAACATGTTCATTAATTAATCAACCAATTATTTAATATATACCTAACTTCCTTACCTAAATAATGTTTATTTGCATATATAGCTGAACTAGCTGTCTTCAACTGTGACCACCAATTTGATACCTACAATCACAAAATTTTCTTAGATATTGAAAAATATTCATCAAGTCCGGTTTGCCATAACATACACTTAGTGCAAATAGTTGTCCAGTTCCAGCTAATTGTTGCAAAATTTCTCTTTCCCATTCAATATAACAAGAATCTTTATTAGATCCAGGACTTTGTCTGAAACAAATTAGAACATGAAATAAGTTACTACAAACTATATAGACACAACCATACCTATAAAATTCTTGTTGTTTTGCTTGAAAAATGTTTCCGATTGTTTGAAAAATATCTAAAGAGCAAACATAAACTCCACAATTAATTAATGTTGAAACATATGTATCTGGCTTCTCTACATAATGTGAAACCATTCCAGATTCCTAAAATATCAATGAGATTATTTAATGTATAAAAAAGTAACACCAAAGACACAAAAAATTAAAATTGTATGAACACACACACACACACACACATATACGTATATATATATATATATATATATATATATATATATATAATTAGGAAAGTATCATTACTTACTTTGTCAGTTACAAGACAGCCGTAATTAATTGCTTGCTCTTTGGTAGCTTCAGTTCCCATAATTGTTACTAATGCATTATTTTGTTTCTTATGAAATTCAAGTAATTTCTGTAATGGAAAATCAGCACAAACATCACCATTTAAAATAAAAAAAGCTTCTGGAGATCCTCCCCGAATTAAATCTCGAAAATGATACATTCCACCAGCAGTTCCTAAAGCAGTAAATTCTTGTAGATACCTGTAAAATAAAATTAAATAGTTTTACTGGACTATTATCTGACTTATGTAACTATTTATTCATAAAAAACTACATATACCTTATTTTTATTTGATATTCATGTTGCATGTCTGATATAAACTGGCTGATTTGTGAGGCTGGATAGAATCCTATTATTAAAATTTCTTCTAAATTAGGAATGCAAACACAAGCTTCAACATGATGTTGTATTATTGGTAAACCGGCAACTGGAAACAGTGGTTTTGGAACGTCAAGAGACAAGGGTCTAAACCTTGTTCCTAGAAAAATAAATCAAACAACCACATGTAAGAAATATAAATATTTACATCTTAAAATTTATACATATATTGTTAATATAATGATAGATTAAACTGTATAAAATTTGTTCTAAAATATGTTATATAGATATAAACTGGGCTTTGTCAAATCTAAAGTTTTTACTCTATTCTTATATGCTCTATTTTTTTTTAAGGTGTAAATATGAACACATTACACTCATTCGATATTTATTTAAACTTACAGACGTTTTGAGACTAAAATATGTTGCATCTTCAGTGTAAATTTTTAACAATGAGAAGTGCGATATAAAATATTAATAATTTTATTACTCACAGTTTAAATACTGATCAACTTTCATACATAATGGATGAGTTAGTACTATTAATATATTACTAGCTAAAACTGATTAATTAAAAATATTATTAAGGCTATACATTTTAATCTGCATCGATACTATCATTCAGTGGAAAAAAAACTAGATAAAGTTACAAAATGTGTGATTTTTGTATTGTTTACTAGAATACACTCTTACAACTATTACACTATTGTTAAATCCGATAAATTAATAATTTGAACAATGAAGCAAAGTTATACTAAATATATGCAATTAACATGAGTGTCAAATAAGAATATAATAAAAACTATATGTATAGTAGTTGATATTCAAAATTTAAAAATTTTATAAATATTTATCATAATAGTTCATACCTTTCTGAGGACCACCTATTAATATAACTCCTTTCAACATATTGTTGTTTAATGAAACCTAAAGTAATTACACAGCATTATTTAAAAACAGTTTTGATAAGCATGAAATGCAAGCTTAGAAAAGATAATAATATGTGACGTATGCAATTTTATTGCAAAAGATAACATACCGCTTTATTATATATTATTTTGTTATATGATAAAATGGTATATACAATTAAATATCACACATTCATATATTTTAAATATATATTTCTTATGTCTAAATAATTCTCTATTGTTTATATTAATATAACGTGAATAGGTTAATTTTAACTGACAGATCGGTCCTATTTTGGTTCAAAGAATTAATTATTGCTACGGGCGCTACATTGCAATGGCGCTTCAATCGCATATCACTCGCCATTCAAATTTAAGCGCCAAAATTTGAAATAAAAATATTTGTACTTTAAAAACAATGTATTATTAATGGAAAAAAATTATAGTTTTAATATAGTTTATTGGAATTTGAACTTTGTTCTACGTACTATATGAAAAAATTCCGTAGTATATTTACGTTATTATCGAGAAGAAAAAAGAAATGATATAATTTTAAAACCTCTGTCATTAAGGAAAAAACCTCACAATCAACACAACAGTTGTTTCTTCTGTGTGGTAAATATCAATGAAATAAATTCATTTCAGAAAAGCAGGGCGAAAGTATCCACCAAGACATCAGAACTTTGGGGAAGCGATATCTAATAAGATGGGACATCCCCATGATGGCTGACAATTGTTGGAGCTCATGATAAAATCAGTCAGGCCTTGTACATGCTCGAATATTATATAAAAGTCTACCATCTACCATCCAAAAAGAAAAATCTTAGAAAATGCAGATAGCAGTGATTCAGGCTCCTAAGGAAATGTTTTGAGTAATATACAACCCCATTTTACAATAATTGGTAAATACACCCGAAAGCCAATAAAATACTTCAGTTCAAAAAAACAAAATGATAAGTTTCTGTTCTGCTGCTAAAAGTGAAAAAAAATCATAATACAAATAAATTTTGATTTATAGTTTAATAAAACATGTATTATTTTATTATTTTTATTAACAAAAACATTAGAACAAAATTAAGTAGATCAGAAAGTCAGTCTTCTAATTTCATATTGAGTATTGTTAATTAAAATGAATACTTTCCAATTAAAGCTAAATACATAGTTCTATATAAAAAACATTATAATAATACATAATTCTATATAAAAACATATTAAAAAGATAGTTTAGATAGATAATATTTTTTCTGTATAAGTAATATTAATTATGATTTTATTCTTCTTAACTAAAGAAGCATCAGTTATTTTACTGAATTAAAGACTTAATTTTATTTAAATATTCTCTTATAATTGTTTTCTTATGTATAATATACATTTTATAAATTAAAAAAAAAAACACTTTTGAAAAATTTAATCTCGAGTCAACATCCTAGTCAAGGTTAAAAGAACGTTTTACTTTTGAAAAATTAACATTTTAGGCAAAGTAGAAAAATTCATTTCTTATCTACCCTTAAAAAATGGTAAAAATATCTCTTTATACCCATTGAAAAATTAAAACTATAATCAAAGGTAAAATCATTAATTTTTTACCACTAAAAGATTAAAATTCTAATCAGGGCTAAAAAAACATTTTTTATCTTTGGAAGATTTAAATTTTAATAAAGGTCAAAATAAATTCACTTTTTACCTTTGGCAGATCAAAACTCTAATCAAAGTTAAAAGAATTCATTTTTTACCTTTGAAAAATTAAAATTTTACTCAAAGATAAAAGAAATATTTTTTTACCTTTGAAATATTTAAATGCCAATCAAAGATAAGAATTAATTTTTACCCTTTGAAATACTGAAATTATAATCGAAGGTAAAAGAAATTAGTTTTGCCTCCAAACAATAAAATTTTAATCAATGGTAAAAGAATTCACTTTCGCCTTTTAAAGATTAAAATTATAATCAAATTTTAAGAAAGAAAGGAAAATAATTTTTACCACTTTTAATTACTTAAAAAATAATGTAAATGTGAAAATATTCAAATTTATTAATAATATATTTTCTTTGTTTTAACAGTTTCTGAAGAATAAAGTTTTTTGAAGAAAAACGTAGGCTCTTAGGTCAGAAGAATAAAATCATAACCATGTGTATTATATATATATATATATATATATATATATATATATATATATATATATATATATACCTATTCATATATATGTGTGTGTGATTACATATTATTTAAATAATAAATGAATATAAATTATTTCATTTTATAAACATATTTCATATTTGTTTAAACTTTAACATATAATCAAACTTTGAAATTTCATTTAATAAATCTTTAAAATATATAAAAAAAAACTCCAAATACCATTTCATAAATAATTCGCATTTTTTAACAAACCTAAAAACAATTTTTCTTGTCATTTTTTGTGACTAGTTCTTGTCAATTTTACACAAATCTCTGCATGTCCAGAAGCCCAATGGTTTTTCTAAAATGAATAAATAATTATTTAACATTTGTTTAAGATCAATATTGTTTTCATGTAAATCGGCAGTAAAAAATGATCAATTACTATTAGTCATGCAAAGAATTTCCAGGAACACTTGAAGATAATTGAAATATTGATGAATTGTTAGGATATAAAAATGAAGTTTTAGAATTGAAAATAAAAGAAAACTTACTTGACATGCGATTGAGCAGTAACATGCTGCTTTACATATAGTGCATTGGATTTTCGCCATCATGTCACACATAGTACAATAAATTATCCGTGGCCCATCTATAATATCATCTCCATCAGATGAAGCTTTCTACAAATTCACAAATATTAATAACAATTACATTTTTCCCAAATAATTAAAAAATTGATGGACTTACCTCAATATCCTGGTGAGAATTCATAGGCGCAGGATCTTGCTTCAATAATTTCTTTAACAGAGAATTCAAGTTATCATGTGTTTGTGGTTTAGCTAAGCGCTCCCAATTTTCATTATCAGGATCATACGCCCCATTTTCCTTAGTTCTAATTACTTCCAATTCATGAGGAATTCCATATATGGTAAGATCTTCTAATGATGCACAGCTTGTGGTATCACTAGAACTAATAGCATCAGGTGATTGTGCTTTCTCGTTTTGGACTTCAAGTAAATCCAAAGGCGTAGTTGTAGTTATTGGCGCAACCTGAGTGCTCGAGATCGCCTCTGCATTTATGATCGCTTGATTTTCTTGACATGGTGCATCTACTATTTTTGTTGGAAAGGAGTGAATAATAGAACTGACTATTTCAGTTGTTTGCTCTTCTTTGGAACATGGCTTTTCATGTACCATATGAACTGATTGACATGGTTTATCCATCGTTTTTGCTACTTCTGGATGATCATTTGTAATATTCTTTGGTGCATCTTGCTCAGGTTGATTATTTTGCATCATGGACCCATTCGTAGTGTTTACATACGATGAATTAGTTCCAACAGCACTATTTTCTGCAGGGCGATTTATTAAGAAATTTTGTGTTGAATCAATGTTTACAGTGGAGGCATTTTGTGCTCCACAAGTTTGAGAATTTAATGATGGATTGCCAATTCTATAGTTGGTGACCGGAGCTGGTTGAAACGGCATTTGCGTAGGGTCTTGCGCAGAACTATTTTCAATTATAGAACTTATATTCGGCAAGTTTTGGAAAGGATTTGAAATCATTTGCACGTTATTGTAATTTGGAACACCTTGACCGAAACGACAACCCAGATTCTGATTTCTTTGATAAAGGTTATTGCAAATACTATTTTGATTATTGGTGGATACCCCTGCTGTTGCACTAGTCGTCGGTGCACAATTTTGAAAAGAAACTTGGTGCATATTATTGGAACTGTTCATAAATGGTCTATAATTGTTCATATTGTTGCAATTATTTTGAGCCCGTATCATAGCCAAATTACTACATTGTAACAAATTACTTTGTTCTCTAGAATATGGTATCTGCTGAGATTGCATTGGATTATTCAAGTACGAGACAGGGCGGTAACTATTATTAGCATATGGTCTATTATAATAATTATTTTGCGATATTACGGGTGCTATGTTTGAGCAAACGTTAGTTACATTACTCGGCCCCATATATTGATTCAATAGTGAACCATTTTCGGCTGTTTGTTGGAAATTGATACGTGGCATTGGAAAAATGTTATTTCTGTTGTCAACTGGTAGAGTATTATTAGTAACTGCTTTTTCGATTGTGGCTGAAGTTTGTTGCAAATTTCGTCTGCCATTCAGAGATTGTTCAAACATCATTTGAAAGTTTGCTTTATTTCCTGTATTTGTTGTCCTCGACCATGTATGTGGTAATTCTTTCGATGCATTATTTTGATTCAACAATTGAATATCCGAAGATGATTTGTTTTGGGAAAGAGGCTGGTTCGGATGCGACAAATCAGTTGTATTATCTGAATCATTTACCCGAAGACTAGGCCTTCTAGGTTTCTTAGGTTTACCTTTAGGTTTGGTTTTCTGTTTTTTTGAATTTTCAGTTATTTCTTGAAATTTATTTTCTTGCGAGGGAGTGAAGGAATTAGTCGGTGAAAGCTGCATTGTAGAAATATCTGGTTCACAACTTTCACTATTTTTTGAATTTATAAGCGTGTTTAATAATTCAACGAACAAAGTTCGACATAAGGATTCAATGTGATTAATTATATCGCTCGCCTCAGACATTTTTTTGCTATGTCTAATATTTTATTAAAAACAGTTTTGTTTCTTAGTATAGTAACATTCGAATAAGCGTATTTTTTCGACAAATAATTTAAAGCATTGAATAAACGTTTTCTTCTTGTTAATCTTAAGACATCGTAATCCAATAAACTAATTCTATAACGAAATTTATCGATACCATTAGCATTGATAAACGATAGTCTATTATTATAATTATTTACTGCACAAAAAATATCATTAGAAATGTCTACGGCAAAACATAAAAAGATTGCATCTTTATACATATGAAAATCGACATCATCAATTGAGGCATTAATCGAGTTTTGATGACGATTTCTATACGATGGTAAGTTTATATCGGCAGCGGCTTCTTGTGAATTCATGCTTTCCAATGATCGAACTCGAATTTTTGGAAAACTCGCGTTTGTCTCATTCGATGTGTTTTCAGATCGAGACATAGCACTCGAAATATGCGATTGTCCAGGAGATGATAAGCTATTAGTTATATTCATTGGAGATACATCCGATGAGAAATTTGAAGCTGCTTTTAAAGAATTCGCACGATTCATTGCATCAAACTTTGATGATATTAAATTTTCAGATCCATTCAATGTCTCTGCTAACGGTAAATCACCAGGAAGTTCAGATGGCATGTTGCCGCTACCGCTATTAGTATTCTTGTCGTAAATATTTGTCGCAGTTTGAGGTGAAGTATTAAACTCAGGACGTATCATATTAAAGTCATGTCGGTTCTGATATAAATGCTGAAATTGAGTTTTGCACGCACTTGCTGTGAATCCTTTATTAATATTCTCCGAATTTGAAATAATAGCAGGAGGAAAGCTTTTTCGTGTATTCTGCTCGATGTCCTTGGCTCAACTATCGTACATTTGGTGAAAGTCTGTGGTAAAGTACGTTCCTGTCCATTTTGGAAACTAAAGGATGGTTTCGAATACACTATTACAGAATCAGAAGATCTTATAAACTGATTGTTTGATGAGAAAATCCTTGTTTGTAATCTGAAGAATGCCTAATTTCGTTACTTGTATGTCAGGTAGTTTATGTTGGCATTGTCAGGAGCGATATTGACTAAACGCTCTGAAGGTTTGGTGGCACAATTTTCTCCTGCGAAATTCCAGATTGTACTGATCAAAAGCACAAGAATTAGAGGAAGGCTGTGAAGAAATAACGGTGTAGATGAATTTTCACAAGTTTCACTTTGCAAGCAGTTTGGTGATTGTAGAATTATTTGCGTTCCATTCACAAAAACTGGTAAATTGATAATTTTGTATTGGTCATTTAATGGAGTTATCGTTATTGGATCGGATGGCAAAGAAGCGAAACTAAATTATTTTGACT